TTATTCTAAGTGGCTAATAACATTGAAAAAATATCTTTTACCTGCTTTCAAGATATCTACACTCTTATTTGATGAATTTAATTTAATGCAGTGTTTTAAAGATTTACCAAAGATAGATGTAAAAAAGATTTTTGAAATAATTTGATGAGTATACATTCATCTGTATTTTATCAAGCAGATACACAAACATATATATATCCAACACCAACTTATGTATCACTCCTATATTTCCAGAATTTAAGGTTTCAGTTTGTAAGTTTTATGTAAATATTAAGCCTAGCAGGTTATTACAATAGGTGGATTTTAAGGAGGCCAAAAAAATTGAAGTATTGTCATATATATATATATATATATATATATATTACAGACATCCTATAGACTTCAGATTAATTTTGTCACTTTGCTTTATTTATTATAGAATGCCAAGTTAGAGAACCAAAGGTGGATTCACCTTGCCATTGGAATTTTGTTTTTATATTTATGGTTTTCTTCTGGGCCCTGACTCGTGTGAAAATCAGTTTGAGTGTGTGCGCAGATCTTCATTGAAACTCTCAGGAACTATGTCACTATTGTTTGTTTTACTATAAAGTCAGGAAGACCCGTTGGGTTGTTTGCCATGGAACAAAGGTGGTTCTCAGCTGCGGGGAAGGCAGTCTTCAGTTGAAGCCTCAGTGAAAATGCTTTGGGGTACAGTGTGTTGCTGTGTAGGCTCTGAGGAATCTGTGAATCCTCTAACCTCACTTACTTGTCTTCTCTGAACTGGAATTGAACATGTACTTTCTATTCGCATAGGCTGATGAGACCTGGTCATGGGAGCAGTGGTGATCTGCTCCATGAAACTGCCCTTCAGTCTTACCAAGAGAGAAGAGAGTAAAATCATTTCTGTGGTAGTAGCCATTTATTTATCATTTTAAAACTTCCCTGAAAAATAGATTCAGCTATGTGCCTGCTAATGTGAAAATCCAGATCTATCTCAAGGTCATAGGCAGCTGCTTCTTTTAAAAGGTCACATTAAAAACAGTGGCGTTAAAGTAACCCGGGGACAAGGAGCTTTTCACCATTCTTGCCTTTGAACACCATTCTGAAGTCTAATCCATGCAGATAGAGAAGATCTGAAAACCGTGTATGGAAGAGGTGGTTGTGGGTGATAAAGTTGCCTTAAGAACCTTGGAGAGTCACCTGAAACTCGCAAAGCTGCTAAGAGCTGTTACAAATTCAGATTAAATTAACCTTAAAAAAGCAAGAATTTTTCATTTACTTATATCACAATAACGAGCCACTGTGAAACATAATAGAAATTAGATTCCTTTCGTAGTATAAAAAGCAATCGAAGGCTGGGGAGTAGCTCAGTGGTAGAGTGCGTGCTTGGCATGTGCAAAGCCCTGGGTTCCATCCTTAGCAATGAGAAAAGGATATTGTTATTAAAATTTTTTAAAGTGATAGATTAAACGTCATACAGCTGTAAAATGGAAAGTTCCTTAGACCATTTAAATTTAGTACAGTCTGTTTAACAAAGGAAAACAAAACAAGGCATATCTCCCTGCTTCTGCCCACCATAGATTTCTTAAAGCAAATAATAAGATAATACTAGGTCATATTATAAGATTTAGAAGTGTTTAGTGAATAAGACGACACATTGTATTCTTGGGTGGGAAAGGCAGTATTAAGTCTTCACTTTCCTAATTATAAATATGTTCTCATTGTAATGTAAATTACAGGATTTGTTGCTTTCCAAGGAAAATAGGAGCAACTGATACCTTGGGCAATTTTGGTTTTCACTAATTTTTATAGTAATGAATGAGGAATGCCCTGACTTAGAGATACCGATCGTTAGGAAAAAGGAAAAGAAACAGAGTATGAGCTTTTTAAAAAATTCTTTATATAATTCTAGATAGAAGTCCTTCGTCTGAGAGACAGTTGGCTAAGATATTTTCCCAATTCATGGGCTTTCTTTTCACTCTGTTGGAGACGTCTTTTGACATGCAAAAACTTTTTAATAAGATGAGGAGATCTCAGTTGTTGATTCTGGGAAGTATTTCCTGTGCAGTTTGATTTTTGTTTATGAACTCTCTGCGTACTCCTATGTCAAGATTTCTACATACTTTGTTTTACAGCAGATTTAATGTTTCTGTTCTAATATTTAGATCTTTGATCCATTTTGACTTTAGTGCATGGTGATAGACAGGGGTCTAGTTTTAGTCTGTGGCATATAGAGAGCCAGTTTTTCCAGTACCACTTATTAAAGAAGCTATCTTTCTTCTATTGAAAGTGTTTGGCCCCATTGTCAAAGATAAGGTGGCTGAGTGTGCTTGTCATTGTGGGCTATATCTTCTAATCTACTCCATTAATCTTCAGATCTGTTTTTATTCCAGTACCATACTGCTTTTATCACAGTAGCTTTGTAATATAATTTCAAGTCAGGGATTGTGATGCCTTCTCCCTTAGCTTTGTTGCCCAGAATTCCTTTGCTATTCTAGATCTCTTCTGGTTCCAGATGAATTTTAGAGATAATTTTTCTAGATCTGTGAGGTACCCAAAATTCAAGGACCCAATCCAAAAACAGGCATCTGAGATGAAACACAATTCTCAGATGAAGAAATACAAATGGCAAATAAATATATGAAAGATGCTCAACAGCAATAAATAAATATATGAAAGATGATCATTTGGGAAATGCAAATTAAAACCACACTGAGATTCCACCACATCAGAAAGAATGGCCAGAATAAAGAAAACTACCAACAACAAATGCTGGAGGGGCTCTGGGGAAAAAGAAAGCCTTCTGCACTGCTGGTGGGAGTGTGGATTCTGCAACCACTGTGGAAATCAGTGTGGAAATTCCTCAAAAAGCTAGGATTAGAGATTCCATTTAACTCAGCCCAGAAGAATTGAAAACATCATACCATAGAGATATACATGCACCCATGTTTATAGCAGCACAATTTGTAATAGCCAGATCTTGGAAACAACCCAAGTGTCTATCAATCAAGGAATGGATAAAAAAGGTGTATTTTTATACAATGGCATACTACTCAATTATAAAGATTGCATAAAGACTTTTATAAGTAAATGGACGTGATTTGAGACCATACTCATAAGTAAAATAAATCAAATTCACATGTGTAAATACCATATTGTCTTTCTAGTTTAAGAAACTGAAAAAATAGTTATGATCCAAAATCTACTATAAATACTGTGTAAGGGTAAGAAACTGCTCAAAGAGGAAGAGTAATTGGGGTAGGGAAAGGAAGAAAGAAGGAAGAGAAAAGGAAAAGACATAAATTTGTGTGTGATAGCTAAATGTATATATATATATATATATATATATATATATATATATGGTAGCTAAAATGACAATACTAATTATATTAGCTATTGGAAGAGAATTGTTAATACTCATATGATTAGATCAATTTTGCAAGAATATATCTGTTACTCTAAGCAACCCTTTTGTAGGTAACAATGTGCAATATTACCACCATTGTCCAATTCCTATCTTCTGGTTTTGTAAACCTACACTGTTATTGTATTGGGTTTGTTGGTGGTGGTGGTCTCTTTTGCTTTTTCTTTTCTGTGTCTTTTTTCCTCTTAATTAGAAAAAAAAGAGAGTTATGAACTCACAAGACAGGCTTACTGTGGAGCAAACCCAAGAGGGACCACTCGGGCGCTAGAAACCAGACCAGCTACTCTTGTGCAGGCTGTCGTGTTTTTAAGGGTCGTGAGCATAAGGGTGGCGAGGGTCAGCGAAAAGGAACTGTGTCTGCCTGTTAGGGACAAGGCTTGAGAGTGTGCAGGGAATTGTGGTTGCTCGTCAGGCGCAGGGCTGAGAGATCGTGGGAGCTGTGAACTGCAGCAGTGGTTACTGGTTCTTGTCAACTCATGATTATGCATTTCTAGCAGGTACACGAGCACAGCAAGTGTGTGGGGGTGGGGTGAATGTGATCTTTGCTCAGCTCAGGATGGCAGCGTTTGGATTCCCTCAGAGATCATAAATTTAAAATCAGATGCATTATAAAACAGGCACCTTGGGGCTGGGGATTTAGCTTAGCGGCATAAGCGCCTGCCTTGCAAGCAGGCGGTCGTGAGTTTGATCCCCGGTAAAAAGGAAAAAGACAAAAAAAAAAAAAAAAAAAAAAAAAGATATAAAACAGGCACCTGCCAGTGGGATGGAGTGGCCAGGAGTGTGCGGATTTTGGTGACCCCGTGTGGCTCCCACGTCTTCTGCTTGGGGAGACCTCCGTGGGTGGGCAGACAGCCTGCTTGTCCCACACCTGACAGCAGTGAAGAGGATGCTTGTAAATAGCAGGAACACGGTGACAGGTGTGTGATGGGGGCCTGGCTGCTGTGCTCGGCTCTCCACTGGGGATGGGAGGCACTCAGTGGCCAAGTCCTGAGCCTTGGGACCCCATGGTGAATCTCAGGATGAGTGTGTAGGGGAGCCAGCTGACAGCTAGGATGCACAGTGGGAAAGGCGTCTGACCAGAGTGACAGGTGAGTAGATGGAGAGCCAGTGTCACACCAAGGGGGACATGGAGTCCAGCTCAGGACCTGGGCCTTGTGCTAAGGCAGCAGGGAACTGTTACTGGGTTGAACGCAGGGGATGACTTGCATCCAGGCTCAGGGTGTGAGGTGTGATTTAAAAAATACAGTGACTATTACAAATGTTAAAATTCATGACAGTCACGGACACATTGCCACTAATGCCCCTCACAATTGCCCCTTCACTGTGCAGGCTTATTCCATCAGACTTGCCATTTCTGAAGCAGCTCTGGAAGTCCTTCATGTATGTCTTTAGCTGTACACTGTCAGGATTACTTGATGTCCTGAATCCATTCAGAGTGTTTACTTTCACGGTCACTTTTACTGTAGGGAAGAGCCAGAAGTCACACAGTGCCAGGTGTGGCCAATAATGTGGCTGAGGACACATTGCAAGGTGTATTTGCTTTGCCCTTTGGATGTCAGAACTGTCATCAGGGGCTAACACAGTCTTCTGCTTGCAGCCCACAGCCCCCTGCATACAGGAGTTCCTCACCCTGCTGGCTGTGTGCCACACTGTTGTTCCCGAGAAGGATGGAGACGAGATCCTGTACCAGGCCTCCTCCCCAGGTGAGGACGCTTGGTGGACAAGCCCTGCCAGCCCCCACCCTGAGGATGGGGGTGTCTGTGGTGATGTGGGGAAGAGGCAGGGGACAGCCTGCCCCCCCACCGGCCTGTTAGCCTCACACCACTTCCAGGGGGGTTGCAGGTGTGAAACTTGCAAGAGCTGGTGCTGGGCTCTCCTGACTGTCTTGATGACCCTGTGGTGGCAGGAGGACCCGACCCACGCCAGCTGGCTTTCCCAGCCATGGTTATGAGGCTGTGCAGAGTTTTCCAGAGAGAATGGGGCTGCATCGGCCACATGTTGTGGATTTTCCAGCTGCTGGGGAAGCTGTGTGTGGGAGCAGCTGCTCTTTGCCCTCTTCTGGGTGCTTTGAACCCCAGAGTAGTACATCTAATGCATGGGCTTGTTTGGAAGAGATGCTCAGTCAGTGGGAATGCAGTGTTAGGTTGACTAGGAGAACACGGCCCCATTGAGAACAGCAGGTGTGCAGATCACTCTTGTGAGTAAGCTCCCCGCGTCCCTTCCCCACATCCTGCAGAGGGGCTGGCTTTGAGCCCAGGTGACAGGAAGAGCAGGGCTGCTGTCTCCGCGCCCTTACTACTACAGATAGCGCCAGGCTCCCCGAACCTGAAGATGGGGAGTGTTAGCGTGAGGGAAGAATGCCTGAGTCCGCCCAGGGTCTCACCCGCTTCTGCTTGACAGATGAAGCTGCACTGGTGAAAGGAGCCAAGAAGCTGGGTTTCGTCTTCACGGCCAGGACGCCGTACTCCGTCATCATAGAGGCGGTAAGCTGGCCCTGTGCTTTCCGTCTGGATGGATGTCCTGATTGCAGTTTGAAATCATGTATCTATTGTGAATGTCATGGCTGCCTTTTTGTCTTCCTTTCAGCGAAATAGACTCGAAACAGTGTATTTGGTTTTGTGTCATTGTAGGAGCTGCTCTCTGTTAGTTGGCACTGCGATACTTTCTCTTAAAGATGCTTCCCTACCGGGCTTCAGTACCGTGACGCTGTGGCTAAGAGCTTTGCAGGTCTTTTCCCTAGAAGTTGGGAGAATGGCTGTGTCCCTGTCCTGTGTCCCTGAGGCGGGTTCTGCGTCTCTCTGTAGCCACAGCACCCAGGAGCTCCTCCACGGCGGGGCCTCCGCCCACAAGTGGGGACTCTGCTTGTGAGGGACGGAGTCAGAGCTGCAGACCTTTACATTTATGATTGTGTTTCCCTCCTGATGTCAAGGACTTTGTGTTTCTCTATTTTTAAAAAATTTTCCTTCATGTACTCCCCGCTTGATTTCTGAAAAACTGATGGATCGTTACAGTTTTACCTTAATGCATTCTTAAATCTCTAGAGTTTTTAGCGTGCTTGAGGTTTGCTCCAGGTGGTCTAATAAGTTGATACTGTCCTGCATTGACAATAGTCAGTTTTTTCCTTTTACTTAGAAATATCAAAACCCTGTAAGATATCAGACTTTACACAAAATACCAACCTTTCCCCTGGCATGTTCAATTTCTTGTGGAGTATGGAAATCAGACCATGTTTATTTTTACTTTATTCAATCAACAGAGGGAATTTAGCTTAAGGAAATGTGCAGTCATTATTAGTGGAATGAGTACTGATTGAATATAGAATTTCCCTCATAGCAACTAAAAAAAAGAAAGGAAGGAAGGAAGAAAGAAAAGAAAGGTCTTCTTCCCTGTCAGTTTGAGAAGGCTTTTTGCCTTGGTGGGCGGGTTTTCAGGTTGGGGGTGCTGCTGGGATGTGGGAGGGGGTGGGTGGGCAGGCTGGGTGTGAGCAGAGAGCTGAGTGTGCTTGGCTCGTGGTGCCAGAGAAGCCCAGGGAGAGCACCTATGACACTGCATCTTTGCACTGTTAGTTGCCGGAGTGGCCCTCTTTGTTCTTTTATAAAAATCTTATGTCATACAAATGAAATAAAAATGATGGGCTGATTAGTTGAGTATCAAAAATGATAATTAAAAATCCCATTCAGCCATTAATTCAGGGGTAATTCTCCAATTGATCACCAGCCCTTTCCACAAAGAGTCCTTGCTGACCGCTGTAACCTCTGACAGGTGTGCTGTGTTGGTGTGGCCGCTGTTGTCAGTGGGCAGAGAGGAGGCTGCTGCTGGCAGTGAACAGGGAATGCTTAAATGCACCCTCAGGTGCTTCAGGATGCCATGAGATGGAGGCAGGATTTTGTGTTGGGAAGACACTAATGTGCCCAGTCACGGTCTTGGTAATTTGTTGGTTACTTCTCTGATACTTCTGTCAAGTCCGAGAGAATAATACTATCACCATTCATCAGAAAGTCACATTGTTAGTGGCAGGAACTGGAGTCAAACTGGTTGTGATGTGTTATTAAATTTAAAAATTTGGAAGTGGCATGCACACAGTCTCCAAGCTTTTTTCAGGTGGAGAAACTGTGAATATTGATGTTCTAACTTGAGAAAATCCAAAGAAAAAGAGCATTTGATTTGTTAATTCCCTGAGACCGGTGCAATTCATAATCCCTTATCTGTAACTCTTAATCTCCAAACCTCTGAATTCCAAGTTTTTCTCTAAGTTTGGGGAATAGTGATTTGGCATTAAAATCCAATGAGAACTGACATGAGCCTACTTTACGGTCTTTATGACCCTTCTTCAGTTTGATATTACTTTTTTGGCAGAAAATTGAGGGGTCTCATGCAGTTGGGGACATAAACTAACAAGATGTATGCATAGAGCCTTATAAAATGTGTAAAATCCTGACTGACAAAGCATAACTGGCTACAGGGTTCCTGAAGGTGCAGTGTAGCTGGGGTCTCCTTCTTTTGTGGCTGTCCCGGCCAACGGTGAGAGCCCTAGAGGTACTTGGAGAAAAAAGCTTCTACCATGCCAGAAGAGGGCGCTGGGATCCCATCAGATGGATGAGAGAACAGCTCTCAGCTGCTTACCAAGGGTCAGAGGATGGGCAGAAAGCATTTATGATCCAGGGCAGATGCTTTGAGATTTTACTGTTTTGCATCACAGGTACCTGTTTTTCTTACTGCAGATGGGACAGGAGCAGACATTTGGAATCCTTAATGTCTTGGAATTTTCCAGGTATGTTTCTCTTTCAGACACTTGGACTTTTAATATCTATTTAACAACTTCATTTGCATATTCACATGATTGTTTGATATGATTAGAACCTGAGCATTAAATATGGTAAATACACCTCCATCACCCCTATTCTTGGAATTTGTGACTTTTAGTGAAAGAAAGTGAAGTAGGTCCTTTTTTCTTTATTTTTTTACACTTTCCTGTGCTTCCTTCCCCTTAGCTCTGGTGACCTTGCATAATCTGGGCAGGCCTGTCTGGATGGGGGAGTGTGTGAGGGTGTTTTTGTTGATGCTGGTCCGAGCCCCTGAGATGGTGCCGCCTGCCACACCTGACACTCCTCTGGGGCTGCAAAGCCGACACCTGATGACAACTCAGATCAGTTCGTCCCATGAGAGGCCATGTCCAGGTCTTGGACTTATTCCAAAGCATTTTTCCCAGCTCAGTTTTTTTTTTTTTAAGACCTAGAAATATTTGTTGGATTCTTTTGTTCCCCTGGAAACTTCACGATTTGTTATGAGGAACCACATTTTAATGTTGGTGTTTTTCTTCCCTTTTTAACACTGTTGGTTAATCAAGGTTTTGTTTCCTCAAAAATATCTTTTCCGAGTATTGAAATGAGAGGGTTTTTAAAGAACCTGTTGGCTCATGGTTTGTCCCTTTTGGTAAGGTGTTTAATGAATGTCAATTTTTATATCATTGTAGGAAATTCTTTGTAGGCCGAGTCTTTCTTTTAGGACTTTAACTTGGACTTGGTGGGTCAGAGGCCCTTGCGGTTGGACACACAGTGAGACAGACCTGATAGTGAATAACAGGGCAGTTCATGTAGGAAGTGTGTAGTCAGAGACCGACTACGCATCTCTCTGGCCTTTGCGCTGCCCCTCCAGATTCTCTTGTTGGAAACTGTGTTGCTTTGTGGCTGCAGTAACTGGAACCGTCAGTGGGTGGTCAGACAGAGTATGAAGGGAGTTAGATAAAAACATGAATATGGAGAGACAAGCAGATGCATTTTTAAAGACTGTGGGAAGGGAAGACGGAAGAGAGCTATCATATGTGGGGATAGTGGTGGCTCTGTTTTAGTTGACCCCTCGTTTTGCTGACACCACTTAGTTCTGTGATTCCCTTTTGGGGTAGTTGTTGGTAACCTGCTTTATTCATTGAGAAATCGAAATGCCAGCTAGACAATTTTGCTAAGGTAGCTGGGGAAGAATGCGAATCCAGGAGAGAGTCCTTGTGGTCAGGATGTGGGAATTTATGCAGAGCTGAAGACCTGAGGCCTCATTCTTTGGTGCAGATGGTGCAGTGGGGAATCATCAGATGAGGAGGCTGTAGAGAGGGGTGCCTGGGCCCCGCTGGGCTTGGGGTGTATTTCAGAAGGGTGAAATGTCAGTGAAGGTGCTGGAGGAATGGGCAGGGGAGGAGCGTGGCGAGTCCTGTGTGCTGGGAGCCTGGTGTGCAGGGAGGGTCAGTGAGGATGAGGGCAGCCTGCCAGAGTGGGCGAAATGGGAAGAGGAGGATTTGGGCAGAAGGCGTGTGGGGTCCAGGGCATGGGGAATGGACTGTGATGCCAGGTGTGTGCAGAAGTGAGGGAGGAGGGCGGAATGGGGCATCTTCTATTCATCTATAGTTTTTTTCTATGGAGCAGACCCATGATGAATATTTTTTTCTTTCTTACAGTGACAGAAAAAGAATGTCCGTCATTGTGCGAACTCCTTCAGGACAGCTTCGACTATACTGCAAAGGCGCCGTAAGTGTTCATGTGGTAGCTCCAGAGCCCAGAGCTATGGGCTATTTTGTTCATCAGCTGCTCTTCCTGCCTGCTGATGCCTTGTCCCCAGTTGTTTGCTCTTCAGGCCCCATGGGGTGGTGATAGCCACCAGGCAGAGACAGCAAGGAGGGTGTGTGTCCAGCCAGCTGGTGGTTTCAGGGGGCGCAGCTCAGCGCACGGTGCAGAGGCTGTGGAGGCTGAGCACCGATTCCAGCTTTAGCGCCATCGTGTGGGGACCCTTTGTAGTAACTCGCGTCGGCTCCTGACCAGCGTCTTTAAATCCCCCGCTGGATGGTGGTCTTTTAGCAGCTGTGCTTCCGTCACTGTGATTTATTTTTGGTCTGTTGCAGTAGGTCCATAGGGAGTGTGCATGAGTGACCGCATTTTTGGTCAGTTTCCTGGGGCAGGCATTTTGTCCTGTGCGCCATCCACCCCAATCAAACCGAAAAGTGCAGTCTGTAAGGAAAGATGTGTCCTGTTAAATGGTCCGTCCATGGGTGGAGGGAAAGAACCTTTAAGCTTATGTTATGGGCCTATGTCATGCATATGATATATAGTGAAAAATCTCACTAATCTTTACCAGTTGTGAGGGAAAGGGTGGTTAGTATGTTATGACCAGAGATTAAAAAATGGGTAATGCACAGGACTTCTAAAGGCATTGTATCTGGACCCGTAACAGAGTTCTGATGTTAAGATGCATCCCTGATACATTTTTGAAAGTTAACATCTGTGTTCTCAGTACCGCAGCACATAGTCAGTGAGAGGCAGCAGAGAGAGGTCAGCTATAAATACGGAATGGTGCAAATGTGAAAATGCTGTCAGGGTTATTTCATTTTTGTAGAATTTAATGACTGTATCTCCAAACCTGCCAACCTCGTTTTAAAGTCAGTATCCTGATACTGTGCAGTGTACAGCATATCTGATCGGTTGTCTGTGGCGTCTGGACCTCCAGCCCTGCTTGTTAGCTGCGTAGACGGTCACAGGATGCGGGCTTCATGCACCCACTCAGTAAGAGCGGGTTTGGTGCCTGTGGGTTGCGCCCTCCCTGTTGGGGTGACTGCAGTGGCAGCAAGCAAGGCTGACCCTGAGGAACTCAGGATGTGTGTTTCACTCTTCATTTCTGAATGGGAAGCCTCTAACATTTCTGTATCACAGGTGGAGCATCTCTAATCCAAAAATCCAAAATGTTTCAAAAATCTCAATCGTTTGATCACTGACCCAAGTGGAAAGTTCTCCACCTGACCTCATACCAGTCCGAATGCAGGCACAGGGAATGTGTAGTGTAGACTCACCTGCAGGCTGTGTGTGTAAGGTGTACGTGGACAGGAATGAATTTTGTGTTTAGATATGGGTCCCCACCTCTAGGTGTTTCATCGTCTGTGTGCAAAAGCTATTGTAAAATCTGAAAAAAAATTCCAGTCTGCAGCACTTCTGGTTCCAAGTAACTCAGACAGGGGATACTCCGTCTGTACTTCATGATGAGGGTTTTCAAACTGTGAAGTTGGGCACTGCTGTGTTCTTGATTATCCTATTGCTGCCTAGGAGCCCACCGGGGTTTTACTTGGCTTTTAAGGTACATAATAACTTCTGGTTTTGTTGGGCATATCCATACCCAGTGTTTTTCAAAGCTCATGCCTCAGCCCAACCAAAGACTCTGATCTTACCTACTCAAGTATTTCCACGTCCATTAGATAAACACAATTAAATCAAACCACATTTAGCATGCTGACTGGAAGATTTCCTTACAGGCTTGCCAGTCACAATCAGTGTTTCCCTATTTTATAGGATAATGTAATTTTTGAAAGACTTTCAAAGGATTCAAAGTACATGGAGGAAACATTATGCCATCTAGAATACTTTGCCACAGAAGGTAAGCAATGTTTGAAAATGTTGTTTTTGCTCCTTGAAGCTGTACTTCTAAGTGTTTATGGCTGATGCTTGCATAAGACATCCTACTGGAGCCGTATTTGACTTGCTTCACAGAAGGATATTCTTCAGGTGCCTACCTTGTCCCCTCCCACTGCCACATTTTGTGCCCATGGCAGTGACGAAATAAGTGGCAAAGACCAAATTCAGTTACCAGATGTGACTCTAAGCAGTAGCACAGAAGGAGGGCTGGGCTAACTCTGCTCATGTGGTATCATCTTGTCCCCTTCCTGGAAAACTCGTCATTTCTCTGTGCCTGTTATCATTATGACACTGGCTTATCCAGGATTTAAGGAAATAATTCACTGAGCCTACAGAGAGCAGGAAAGGAGCCCTCTAGATTTTCCCACAAGTGGGTGTGATGATCGCTGGAGTGCACGGGTCGCTGCTGCTGTCTCCTGGTATGATCACCTGGAAGAGGATGCGCCAGTGTGTTCACCCCAGGGCGTGGCTGCCTGGAAACTCGGATCTTTAATGCAACCCCATGGTGGGCTTTTAATCACTGCCTTGAAATACACGTCAGCTTGGAGATTCCTGCATTGCATGTATGCACCGTGCATGGCTTCTCACTCTCTGCTGTGCAGCAGTTATAGAATTTGTAGAAGAGTCTTTCTTTAGAGTAGAGCCCTCTTCAGATTTCCTCTGTAGATATGTGAGTGCTGAATTAGAGTGGCCTGAAAAGCAGACCTTTCATTATTTGAGCGTGGGGACTTAGAGGAAGCCACGTAGTCTCTCTTGGGATATGAATGACAGCATCCACTGTCCATTCACACTGCTGTTTGCAGGCTTGCGGACCCTCTGTGTGGCCTATGCCGACCTCTCCGAGGATGATTATGAGGAGTGGCTGAAAGTCTATCAGGAAGCCAGCATCATCTTGAAAGACAGAGCCCAGCGGTTGGAAGAGTGTTACGAGATCATCGAGAAGGTGACCACACACGGAATGACTTTTCTGCTCCTACTGAAGGCCGCTACTGCTCACTGAACAGAGTCTGTGAACAGGAGTGCGGCTGCTACATAGCGATGCTTGCCTTTTTCTGAGTGTCTTGATCAACCCCTAGCTTTGAATCATATATGTGCTTTAGAAACACTTAGTATTCATGGGTTATCTGAAAGATCCAGCCACCTTCAGCAAACCATTAATGAGATCCTAAGATCTATCAGGAAAAAGGAAAGAAAAAAGAAATATCAGGTCAGAAATGGTGTGAGTAACTTTCTGGGTGCCTGAGATTACATGTCATAAGATTAGGTCACCCTGTTGGGTTACGTGAGCCTGTTAGGTCACCCTATTGAGAACATTGTGTAGTAGGATGGTTAGATCTTATACATATGGATTGCAAGAATATTTATGCTTCATTGTCATTGTTATTACTTTTAGTTATAACTCAAGAATTAGATTATTTTGTACTTCCTTGGATTCCTTTAAATTTGGAAACTAGGTTTCATCGTTTCCTGTTGGTGTCAGGAAGCACTGGACCATTTTTCCAGTTTCTCTACATCTAAAGACATCATGTGTTTACTGTTTTTCATTCATTTACTTTTTAAAAATTCCCCTTTGCTTTTTCTGAGTTCTTGCTAGAGTTTTATATTCAGTTGTTCATATTCAGCCATTTTGATGGAATCTTAGTAGCACTGATACGACGAGTTCAAGCATAAATTTTGTCCTGCCTTACTAGTTAAAAGAAGATGAGTTAGCTTCATTAATGTTTGCTCGAGCAAGGCAAAGTTCTAAACAGAGCAGCCCTCCTGATGGCAGAAGACGTCTAGGGCTCGCCTCGTGTGAGGCTGTAGATGTAGCAAGATAAAAGAGAGTGCCATACAGAAACAGCTGAGTTGGTTTCAGTCAGCATTGCCATATATGAACATGTGTCAGTGCCTGATTGGCTGGACATGTAGCTTCTGTCATGTGAGACTTGGTTGCTTAATTGTAGAGGTTCACTTTTTGGTTGGGTTGCACTTCACTTACCAATCTAGGTTATAGTTGTTTACCATAGAGAGTCCACTTTGAGTCAGATTTCATAACCTGGTATAGAGACAAGTTCAGGCCAAGTTTGGTTTAACACTGGAAATATCCAAAACTACTTTTAGAATCAGAAAAACGTAATCACGCGGGTACCATATGCAGGTGGTATTCATGAGATTCAGTGCTGGGTCATAGAGAGACCCAGACAAGGTCAGTTAGGGTGCGCTGGCTGGGCCCTCTGCAGTCTGCCAATAGGTAGGCGGGGCTAGAGTACAGTGTTTCAGCACAGTGACGCCCATTCTCAGTGTGACTGCTTGGCAGAGTACTATCAAAGTACATATTTTATAGCACCTAATCTTAGGACACTTCGATGGTTTCCCTCTAGCTATTAAATGTGCTGGTGCATACACAGATCTCTTGCTACTATACCTCCAGATAAGAGTTTCATCTAGATTCAGTTCTTCTCCTAAGGAAAATGCAGCATGATCTGTATCAGTGGAATGAGAGGAAGAGCTTATCCACTGTTAACACAGTAATTACCTGTGTGTGCACTGGATCCGAACATGCTTCGGGGCCCAGGGATGGAAGACAAGCGCTGGTTGCCAGTGTGTGGAGCATTCCCGGCATGGTGCAGAGTGTGGAAGGCCCACACCTAATAGTATTAATCACCTATAGACCTAGGCTGGGTGTAGGGATTAAATTAACTGTCTCAGAACTTTCTGGTTGGTTTGGTTGGAGTTTTCATTCATTAAATGGGACTTAATTTCTAATCAGAGGTATTTTTCAACCTAGAATTTACTGTTACTTGGAGCCACAGCCATAGAAGACCGCCTTCAGACGGGGGTTCCAGAAACCATAGCGACGCTGTTGAAGGCAGAAATTAAGATATGGGTATTGACGGGAGATAAACAAGAAACTGCAATCAACATAGGTAATCGGTTTTTAAAATGATTTCCTGGCGCTGGCATTTGTTTCTTAAGTGTCTTGTAGGCATAGCTAAGTGTTTAGGTGATGTTAGAGAGGAAATCTATACTAAGGGGCAGAGAGTTTACCCAAATCCAGTGAAAATGTGGTTTCACGTATTGTCTGCCAGTTACACACTGAAACCTCCATGGCTTCCTGGAAAGAATGAAATGCCCTGAGAAGATAGGATTTGAGTTGGCAACTGTGATTTTTGTATTACTTTCTTCAAAAAATTTTACTCTAGAGGCTATTTTACTAAATTTAAATATGTACCATTGTTATAATTGTAACCAGTTTTAATCATTTTACCAGCGAGTGTATTTTTTTGTTTCATATCTTTCTCTTCCCCATCTTGGTTGACGACCATCCTTGCTCAGTTTCCCAGATGTGGAAATTGAAGAAAGGGAACTTAAGTCAGAATCACTGTGTTAAAGAAGCACAATTTAAGCTTAAAAGGAGTTGAAATAACTAACTTTTTAAACAGTATAACTTTCATCATTTGAAACTATCTATAGTTTCAAACTAACTATAGTTTTGAAACTATCTCTGCTTTGGTCACCATTATGACACAGGACCTGGTGCACAGGAGATAAAATGAATTCACTTGTGTGGTACAATGCCATTATGGAAACCATCTCTTTACTGCTGCTTTTGGAAGAAAATATGTTAGAAAAGCTGAGCTCCAGTGAGTGTGGTGCTTTGCAAAGTAGTCTCCTTGGGTGCAATATTTTGGTTTTGAGGCAACCCTTGCCTCAAAATCTACTCTTTTGAATTAGCTCTGCTCTGAGATAACCTCAGTTGTAGATAACACATGCTCTAGGGATGAGTCTCATTGTTTAGAAATAGGCAAATTCCATGTAATCATTTCTTATTGATAAAGCGAATTGAGATACAAGTTACCAAACAACACAAATTCTGATCACAAAGAATGACATGAGTTTTTGTGCACAGTTTTTAAGGCATCAGGTGTTGACCTCATCTCTGAATTTGTGTTGTTTTTAACTCAGTTGTATGGTTTGGAGATCTCATTAGTGCTAGGAAATAAGACCCCCCAGCATGACTCTTTGATGGTGTGTGAGTGCCATCTTCATAAGTGAAGAGCAGGGCATTTGCTTCTGTGTGCTCTCTGTGTTGTGTACAAGTTAACCCTTCAGGTCTCATTTCTCAGGCAAATTTGACCTGAAACAACTATCAATCTATGGTTCCTCTTAATCCTAGAAAGCACACCTGCTGCCCTGAAATACCTAAAACTTATTTAATACATATGCTTTCTGCCCTCTTAAGGTGATATGGAAAAATGGGCATAACCCCTCAGGTTACAAATGAGCAATCATGGTGAGCTTTTTATTTCCACAGACCTTGAGAGTTCCTACTGGACTTGTGCTGTAAGTGCACTCTTTGCTCCGGACTTAGCTTCTGTAAGCACTCAACTGTGCCTGCTGCGGAAGCTTGTGGGGCACCCGTCAGCCGTGACACCCTGCCCACGGGGAGCACACGTGGTCATTTCCTTGCTTTGTTTTGCTACCCCTGAGCCTATCAGTTTAGCTGAGTTGGAATAAATGTAAGGGAAAGCAAAGGGCTGAAAATCAACCCTGCAAACACCAATGGGATTCTGACTTGAAAAGGAGCTTTGCTTGCATTTAGTAAGCCTCTCCTGAGCTCTATACGGTAATTGACAACCATCCAAATACTTGTAGAAATACTGATTGTTTTGTACTTTAGCAAAGAAGGTCTTTAGACCAATGTCATATGTGTGCTGTTGGTACCAGAAGTAGTCACATCCATCAGCTGCTTCTTAATTGATCTTTCATAGTGACTCCTCTTCAACATCACTCAAAGATGGTGCCTCCGACTTAAAAGCTGATGATAGTGCCAAAGTTTTCAGATTGATACTGGAAGTTGCCTCAGCTTCTATATTATCTGTGTTATCACACTCAAACTCTCTTTGGAGTTACTCAGTATGTTTGTAACAGCCAGGGAATCAGAGTTCCTTGAAGAACAAAGTCTGAATGATTTTTTGATTTCAACCTGAAAACTCAACTTTGTATCCCTATAATGTGGAAGGACTAAGTCTCATTTAAGTGACATTGAAGGTATCCATTGAGCTTTCAAAAGAGCATGAAGGTTCAGGGAAGCAGATCTGTTTAGACATTTCTTTAGACTTAGTGTGAACCACGAGTGACAGCTGTCAGCATCGTGAGATCATGCTCTGGATAGAGTACAGAGTTTTGGGCAGTGTTTGGTTATACAGTCCTTCTTCTCCTGGTAATAGCAAGGTGATCTGTCTCCTGGAACCCTGTATATATTTGTGCATTCTGTGTATGTTTTAGGGCATCTAACAGATATTGCAGAAGAATAACACTTAAGTACCTTGCGGTTCTGCTTTGAGATGGATGTAGGGGGAGAAAGCAAACTGGTAGTGCCTGGCTAGTGCAGGCTGTGGGGCTGCCAGTATTCCCTGAAAGCTCTCTTTTCTGTGTTTGCATGTGAAAAATCTTAGTTTGCAGTCTTTCAAGGTTCTGCTTTCCTTAAAGACTAAACTCACACTGAAATCTTTTGGATTTTTTTTTATTTTGGAATATTTGCATAAGTATTACAAACTGACCATTACTAATCCCAAAATCTGAAATCTAAAATGCTCCAAAATCCGAAATTGATCAGATTTTAAAGTATTTGCGATTTAAAATTTTTGGGTCATGGTGCTCCAACCTGTGCTACAGAAACCTATGCTACATCTCAGTGCTCTTAGGTCTTGCTGTGGGGATTAAAGAGATTCTCAGAATTTTCACAAAAATTGGTTTCTGAAATTTGAATTAGAAGACATGGAAAATGGTAGGATAATTGGATAGTTCATTCATTTTAATATGCATATATTTTTAAATCTTCTAATATCCTTGAAATTGTATATTTTAGAACACTGTTGCTTACACTTTTAATTGGCAGCATTTCCTATTTGTACATAGCGCAGGAGTTTACCTTTAGATTTGACGACATTTGTTATGCTTTGTGTTTGGGGTTGTTAGCTCTTTTTATCATTTGTGTATACACACAGATGTAACGTATTTTGAGAATTTATTTTTAATGTGTGACTTTCCTTCATACATAAGAAGTAGACATACTTAGTCAAATTCAGTTTCAGGACATTTGTGTCTCCTGGGATCCAATGAGTTCTATGTAGATAGAGGTCATTTTGCCCACAGGTTTAGCAGTTTGATACTCTTATGTTCTCAGGTTTATGCAATGCTAGAATTGAATTTGTGCTCATTCACTGTGTTTGGGAATTGGCAGTTTTCTTTTTTAGGCTAAAAATTTGGTATGAACTAGTCTGAAGTAAAATTTCAGGTGCAGCCTTTGTGGTTCGCTTGGTCATCATTTTCTTATTACGACCAGATAAAACGTCTATTAATAAATTGTACAATACATATGAAGTTTTCAGAGTTTATAATTTTTTTCTAGTTGGATGTGGAGTGAGCAAGAATAAAATCCAAGTGTGCATTCCATCTTAAAGTAATTAAATTGCAAATAGCTGTTATTTTAAATCATTTCTGACTTGCAATTTTGAGGCCTTCATTTCCCTGAATCTTACTATCTACCACTTGATACTTTTAAACCACTTTATTAAACAGTCCTACAAGTTGAATTAAACTATTTGTAAAATTAGTTTTGTATTCTGAGGTATATAGGATAAATATGGGGTACATATAGATTATCATAGCTTACTTTTGAAAAGCACATAAACATGGGGCTTACTGCCTATGTGTGCTGCCATATTCCTTAAAAGGAAGATAATTCCCCATTCTCAGGTGAAGTTGGCTGGGCCAGATACAACACTGGTGGTATTCTCGGTGTTAGTGTTGTTTTTCATAAAAAATCTAGACTAGCATTGTCATCAGATACTCTACTAGATGCTTGGGTGACTTCCATTCTCTGATTGCCAGAAAAATTACCAAATGATATAGATGAGAACATTCTAACTGCATCTGTTTTAGTTGCTTTCCTCTTTTCTGAGACAAAATACTTGATACTTGTACATTAGAGGAGGGAGGGTATAATCTCTTCCTTTTGTAGAGATTATAGTCCTCTGTAGTTGACTGTGCTCAGTCCTTGCAGCTTTCCTCAGGCAATCCACATTCCTGGCTTTTTCAATTTTCTTGGCTTTCTACTGCACCTTTGGCTTCACACTCACAACATCACACACTGCTCCCTCGGGGACACACTGCCTGGCCTTCTGTGCCTTCTTCTGAAATCTGGGTGGAAGCCTTCTTGACCCCACAACTCTGGTATTCTCCAAGCAGCTAAAACTGGCACCTTGTGGATGATGCCAAATCTACCACCAACTGAATCACTAGCCAGGCTTCCTTCTCTCTTAGTTATAGGGGTTGAGTACCTGGATTTCTGAACCAAATCCTGAGTAATAGCTTCCTTAAGCTGCCACCACTCTGAAGTCTGGTATTCTGGGTGCTCTTTTCTCAAGGCAAAGTCTATATCACCTTTACAGTTTTGAGGCTGTAAAGAGTGGAGTCCTGTTGCTTCTTGTGAGACCATTCTTTCTAATGTCCTCTTCTTTTTTAGCAACCAAGTTCTCCTCTGCTCCTTATTTGCTATAGGACTTTCCTTTCTGGCCAAACTCAAAATATTGTAAATCATTCTGTTGTGCTGTGGTCTTTGTTCATACATCTGGCTCAAAGATCCCAACAGTTGCAGTGCCATGCCTCAATATTAGATTGCATTGAAATTTCTCCTGTAAGATTAATTAGTCCACCATATTCAATCTCAGTCTTAGGGAAAATCTCTGGATTAGGAGCAAAATGAAGATACAGTTTCTGCCAAAGCATACCACATGTGGTCTGGAGTTCCAACAACCAATGTGAGTCTTGTTCCTAACCAAAACCTCCTGAGCCTGGTCTTTACTGGCTGCATTTCTATCCATATTTCAGTCTTTTGAGCTCTCCAATCAAGTTCAGATTA